ATGTTTATTTTACATGATATTGCCCCTTTAAACAAGATTTTTTGATCTGGTTAAATATTGTAGCTTTTCTCATTTCCATGGGTCTTGTTTTTGTTCCACAGTTAGATTTCATTTTTAGAGCGTGTGTGTTGTTGTGCTGTAAAAGTTAGGGACATATTTCCTCTTGGTGACATTCCTGATCCTGCAGGCTGTATTTATGTATGCATGTGTGTGTTGTGGTGGGGAGGGGTGCAGAGCAATGTGAAGCACATTGTATTGTACTGCTGGTGGCGTGAGGTCAGCACTTTCCTTCCCTGCAATCAGYCAGTTATCCACCTCGCCACCCACCCCCCTGCCCCCCCAGCACAGCTCAACACCCACCCACCCAGGCTTCGCTGCTAACAGGACGAGCCCACAGCGGAAACCGGAGGTCACCTAATCCCCCCGGTGACTCCCCGACCTGTTGGCTCAGGGCTTTTCATTGTCACTCAGTGCTGTCCGGACTCCGCTCAGCTGCTTTTAATTTTGTCATCCTGCCTGATAAGTTTTTTTAAAAATTATTATTTATTGGTGCATTTTGTTCTGTTTTCGGCACTTCCCCGCTCCCAGTCAGGAAGCTGGCAGTCGTTAGCATCAGGTGTGTGACCTGTTGGCTTGCAGAAGTGTGATAGTGTTGTGTTTGCCACCTGATTGTCTGGAACTGACAGAGAAACTTCTTGAGAGAGACTTCTGGGAAGCGGTGTGATCTTGTTGGTTTCTTCAAAAGAGCTGCATGACTTTAGAGCTTTCTAAGCAGGGTTTGTACCCCCTCTTCTCCCCTTCTCGTCCTTGCATCCCTCCTCCTGTCACTGTAAGACAACATGGGGGGTGAAAGGAGAAAGGGGATCAGTGGAGTTTATTGTGTTTGTTAACAACSCCAGATGAAAGCCTGGCTGTAATTGTAAAACAGATGTAATGCCCTTCGCTRGTCAGCTAATCTTTTTGACTAATGTTCCCAATTCCCCCTTTCACAAACCGCATGCACACACTTTCCAACATCTCCCCTCCCCTCCTGTCCTCTACCGCAGTGACCCTGTGGCTCATGTTACCAGGTTCACCTCCCCCCCGTCAGAGACCCCCTCTGTTTCCCAAATCCAGGTACCCCGAATCGCTAATTACGTGTTGTCACCCTTCATATAAACAACCCGACATGACGTATTGCAATTACAGCCAGACCTGTCCAGTTGGAAGATGAAAAGAGGGGAAGTGAAATAAACGAGACAAAGGAAGGCCTCGCTGGCCTCCAGAAATGACCGAGGCCTGCTCCGATATAGATCTGACATGTGTGATTATGTGTTTATTTCTTGCGTGGTTTTATTTTTCTAAGATCTTTTTTACTCTCTGGCCATACCTCTGAATTGACCTTTTTTTTCTCCTTCTCGTCAGCGTGAGCATGTGTTTGTTTTACTTGGCCGGTGACTCTGTGTAAAGCCATGCGCAGTTTAACTCGCAGCTACCCTGAGGCAGACATGACCCCTGTGCCTTTTAAAGCCCAGCACAGGGCTGGATTGTCGAGGGGGGCACCCTTCCACTTCTTCCTCGTGTCCTGGGGGTKATATCTGTTGTCAAGCCACCATGTTACCCATTATTCCACCTATACGAGCAGKCATTCATCACTGTCGCCGTCTCATCCATCTAAGTCCACTGACAAACTGGGGAACCCTCGGAGGCTSTAGAGTCACTCAGACTCCCTGAATGTAACAGGCCCCTGCACTCATTCTCTATAAACAAACACAGAACCACTCAAGGCACATGGGGGCCTCTCAAATGACAAACAGTTCCTCGCTTTGTAGCAAATGGGAGGGGGAAAAATGGCCACTCTGACTTTTCAGATGTTTGTGGGCTCACTCATCGAAGAACCCGCTTCATGTGTCCAGTGCCTGCTGTCACGTTAGGTCAACATATTTTCACTTCCTTTTTGGTTATTATTCAGACTCAGGACTCTTGGTTTCRGCACCGGCTCTTGTGTAGGTCGTGCTCCCCTGTGCATCCGTGCTTTGATTGGCTGCTTTAGGAAGGAAGGCTGCGTCAGCTGCCTGCTTCCTGTTGTGTCCGACAACAATCCAACCCCCCGCTTTTCGATGGAAAAAGGAAGCTCGCTTTCTCTGGGTTTTTCTTATTTGACGAGGAACCGTCTTGTTAAATCCTCCCCGGTGGAGAGACCTATAGTTTCGTTTACTGTGATTCGTTTGATTTGATTTATTTATTTAACAGGAAGAGATTATAAAAAATCAAGCCTGACTCAGCATAATTGCTGTTTTACAGCAGGTTCCTGTTCTGCAGCACATAAACACTCAGAATTACARCATCACAAGTTTGAGTAACAAACGTTCACAGTCACAACAGAGAACTTGGCTGAAGCTGAGGCCTTGTCCGCACTTGAAGTAATACAGTGTACCAAGGTTTTGAAGTAGTTGGGCCAATGGCGTATTCRACACAAATACAAACATAACATATTATGATTATTATTATTATTAAGTCTAAAATACTTAGGGTCGTTGATTAGGCATTAGGTGGGTCAACGACAGTATTATTTTCAAAAGGTTGTGTTTTAGAATGTCTACAAAACACAAGGGTTCAAGTTTTTTTCACTCCAAAATCCGTTTTTAAAACAAAGTTTTGAGGTTCGTAAAACATTGTTTCTGTGTGGAAACAAGGCTGAAACGATGAAAACCAAATCTTTTCATATCCACAAAATGCTGTTTCCATGTGGACGGGCCTGAAGCTGCACTGGAGGCACTCGGCTCCAGGCCGTCCGGTTGGGTGGTGTGCACTGGAATGCGTCTTGATTATAGAGGCAGCGCACAGTTTTAAGACTATCATCTCCACAGGCCTGACCAGGATGCATYGCAGCCGGCACTGTAACACCAAAAAGAGGGTCATCCTCTTCTATTCAGTTGCCATGTGGCATTTCAGCTATTCCCATCTGCAATGCTTGTGTGTGTATGTTATTTTTTTCCTTTCCTTTTCAGCATTTGAATGGCAGAGCATTGTTCTTGCCTGCTGGTCAGTGGTGAATAGTAATGTTAATGGGTTAGCTGGGAGYCCTTTTAGGGATGACTTAGAGGGGAGAAAGCAAGGAAAGTGAGGAATTTAGGGATTACGAGGAGAGAGGTAGGGGAATGAATCAGGTTTTCAGGCAACAGCTGTTCCCTCTTCTCAATGCAGGAGTTCGCCCTGGCCTGTCTCTTTCTTTCTTCAGTCCTCAGCAGGATACAGTATTCCTSTTCTTTTCTTAAACCTTCTGGTCTTCCACCCACCTCTCTTCTGCCTAATTTGTGTTAATGAGTAGCAGCAGTTATAAATGAAACAGCTGGCCAAGAACAAACAAAAATGCTGTCTGCATTCTGAACCTAATGCAATCCTATTGAGCAAACACGCAAACATTTCTTTGGCAGAGTCGTTTTTGTTTCGTGGCACCATTGTTGTCATTCTTTTCAGATCCTACACACCTCCCCACATATGTTCTGCATCAGCTCAGTGAACCTCAATTATATAAAAGGCCCAAGTTGAAATTAGGCTCGTATTCGATTGAGTAAATCTCCTTGATATGACACAAATGGAGCTTGTGCTTTCCGTCTTGTGTGCGGTCACTTGTGGCTTCGAAATGAGCTCCACTCGACTTGGCCTCGCTGAAAGGCAACTGTAGACCCAGACAGTATCTCCTGAGCGAGTCTGATATTGTCTTTGTCCTTGGAGCTGCTTTTCAATTAGCCTCTGTTGGAATCTGGCCTTGCAAACCATGTTTGCCTTTGGCTGAATGTTTCATTGAAATTTCCCAGACAGCAGCATTGCTGTAACTTGAATCTCACACTTTGAAATGCCTCATTTCATTTGGCTAGCATGATCTGTTTCTGCAATATCTAATCTCTTCCTCACCACACAGTTCCTTTAGTTTTGTGTCTGTTTCTTTTGGTTCATGTTGCGTCATTTTTCAGTGTCCTTTGACCCAAATATTGGAACTCMTTTACATTGTCAACATCTTTTAACATCTGTCATGAGCTATTTAAACTCTCCAGGCAAAACAACTTGGAAAGAAGGAATGAAGTGAGTAGAGGGACATGAACAGGTGACAGGCAGTCGACATAATCCCCCTCCTGATGCCRGAATACCCATGTGTCCAAGAGTGCTTTTCATGCATGTATGTGTATTTTGTGCATACATTCGGCTGTGGGTGTGTGTGTGCAATGGTGTGAGGATGTGAGCAGCAGCCACTGGAATGCTATTGCAGCGTTAAAGGGCAGCCGTCTCATTTTCGCTCTCCTTTTATGATGCAGTCCGAACYAAATTTCACACTGTATTAAGTTCACGTTTCACTCTTTCTGCRCACAGATGGACGGTCTACCTGCATCTCTTTATTTAGCGTTACTGTAGACGTGTGAAATTAGGCATCCACTTGTCTAACCGATACAGTTTCAAAGAAGGCACRCAAGTGTCTAATAAAAGTATACCAGACTATTGAGTTTCAACTCAATGGTGCTTTAGTGATTGTTTTATTTTGTACTTCAGCATTGAAAAAACTGACTTATTGTTGTGGAATATTGGAATACTGGTAGTGTTTCCTGAGACTGCAAGAAAGAAACCGCAGCGGGTGTTTGGTGGAAGAAAAAGTAGCACGTAGGAGTACAAGCATAGCAGGGAGTCTGTGATTGTGTTTCAGGGTTGGGCTCGTGTGAGCATTTTATTTGGACTGGATGGAGTTTTAATGAGTAAAGTCAACACTCTGCAGAGTCCTGCAGAGGGTTTTCCTCCCATCTTTCTATCACTTGTCTAAACGTGGTCTTGACATAATAACTTGTCCCCCTTGACCTCTGAGGGTTGCACTGGAAGGTGAAAAGTTCAAATCATTACTGGTCTTTCAAAGAGCATTGATTTATCTGAAGGAAGTGGCTCTGCTCTGTGGCGTTTGGGATGCTGCCGGAAGTCGTTATTGTGTTTTGTCTGGATGATTATTGGTTACAAATGTTGTTTTGTCTTTGCAGAATGTCAGCCTGGCTTCTTCAAAGCTGAAGCGTTCAGCGACAAGTGTGAGCCGTGTCCTGCCAACACCCAGGGGTTGACGCCTGGGGCTTCTTCTTGTCCCTGTGTGAACGGATTCTACCGGGCTCCCGAAGACCCCATCACTGGACGATGTTCAGGTGAAGATTATGCAGAAAATAAAATAAAAAAATGTTGTTTCTGACCTTTTTATTGCACAAGAAACTAAATGTCAAGGGCTTCAAAATCAGTAAAGCATTTGCCCGTGCCTATCTGTGTGTTTGCAGATTTGTCTGTCTGTAATTAACCTTTGGYGTTAACCCAATTTAAGATGGATGCTACAGCCAACTGAGCTTAAACACAAAAATACAAAAGATTATTTTGGGAAAAGTGGTGAACAATAACTATCCTTTGAGGAATGCTGGGGTTTACTTTAACTAATATATTTAAATATTTAACACAAGATAAAATCAGCTTACTGTTGTATCTAACACATCTCTTCTACATTTGTCCTCATCAGGCCTCCCCTCTGCACCTCAGGATCTTGTGGCCACCCCCTCCCTTCACTCTACGGGAAAGCTCCTCCTCTCCTGGAGGCCTCCGGAAAACACGGGAGGTCGAGACGATATCACCTACAACGTTGTGTGCCAGCGATGTGAGAGCTTTGCATGCCAGCCCTGCGGAGAGAAGATTCGCTTCGACCCCGCCAGCACGGGCCTGACTGACACCAGGGTGTTAGTGAGTGAGCTGGATGCTCATTTCAACTACACCTTCACCGTGGAGACGCTCAGTGGTGTGTCTGTGTTTGGTAGTCAAGCAGCAGCCCGAGCCGCCAGGCCGCCATCTTCCTCCTCTCTGACTACGTCTCTGCACTACACAGGTGAGGGATACTGATAGGAAACATGGCAGCGATGCAATCTGTTGTGCTGAAATGACAGATRCTATCTGAGATTCGGTGACAGCTCTGTAAATCAAACTGTGCCTCAGGAAGGAGGTGCACAAGAGGATAGGTGTTTTCACTTTTTTTCCCCTTTGCTTTTATCACTGCAAAAGGCAGGTGATTTTTTTTCCTGTGTTTATTTATGTGGCTGCCCCTAAGCAAAATATCAGATTTTTACATCAGAACATAGTTTAATGAAACTCTCAAAAAGTAATCTTTAGCGGTACATTTTGGAGTATATAAAATGAAAGATGGCCGCTACAGCAAATCGACTTCAGCAAACATAAACATGGTTCTAATGCTGCTTTCCAGTTTTAGCGGAACTTGAAATTCTGAAGCCGGGCTGACGTCGGTTCCAAGTTTAAAGCATTTCAGTTTCAAATGTGTCAAAAACATTGGAAAAAATGCTTCTGTTTGTTTGTTCTGCAACAAAAACACAACAATAAAAACAGTGTTAAAACACAACTCCTAATTATCACTATAAAGTACTTCAAATACGGTGGACTTAATTTAAAGTAAACAACACAGAAATTTCACTCCGTTGATGTGAGAAGCAGCCATGTTGAAATGATGATGTAATGCATGATCGGGCTGCTTGGATATGGTCGTGTTGCATCGACCAATTGAAAATTACAACTCAGAAGTGCGAAACTACGACTTCCGAGGACAACCTTAACGCAGCATAAGTCTGTAAATTTTACAAATGAGCTAATGTTTGATGTGGTAATATCTGAAAGTCCCTATGCAAACTCTGAGCCCTGAGATGCTTGAAATATTTTATATGATCAAGAATAAAATTATTTTCAAGCTTTGACCAAAACAGTTAGGACTCTTGTTGGAATGTTGGTCTTTTTTTAAATTTATTTACTTTTTTAGTTTTTCTTCATCGAAAAAAATCTCAAATGTTGTCTCCTCTTTGTTCTCAGAACCACCCAAAATCACCTCCATGCGACTGGTTGAACGGGACTCCACCAGTTTGTCCATTTCCTGGGACGTATCTCCACGGGTTGTGGCCCTGCCCGTTAGCTACGAACTTGCTTACCGCAAGAAGGTGAACATGACTTTTTTTTATATTTCTAGATAGAACCTTAAAAGTAAATGTAAAAGAACATAAAATAGATTTAGTGTGGTCCGTCTGTCTTTAGCTGTGACAAGAAATGTATTTCTTACCTCCTAGGACAACAAGCATGATGTGACTACGTACGTTGTGCTCAAACTGGAGAAGAACTCTGTTCAGATCAACGATCTGGCTCCAGACACTGCCTACCTGGTCAAGGTTCAGGCCTTTAGCAGTGATGGGAGGTCCGGAGTGCCCAGCGGGGAGGAACAGTTTGAGACGTCACCTGAAGGTACGGAGTAGAACCACACACGAAGAGGTCTCTGGGTTTTGTTTTTAAAAAGGGGATCTGTGATGTCCGGTTTATTTTTCTTGCAGGACAACTCAACAAAACTGCAGTCATCCTGGCCGCAGCTGTCGGAGGAGCGATAATGTTGATCCTGGTGATCGTGATTCTGTTCCTGCGCAGACGGTGAGTTACCCACCTGCTCTGCTGGCCTTGCTTGTCCTGTCTGTTCTGCTAATCTGTCACAGTACACCATCCTTCAGTGCCTTCCTGTTTTCATTCTTCTGCTTTTCCTTTGTGGGTCCTCCAAATGCCCTCACATTCACTCTCTCCTCACCCCTCTTTTTCTGTCCTCCTTTAGCCAACTGTCCTTTTCTCTTTATCTGGATCTGTGTCCTGGCACTCACCAGGAAGGAATTTGTGTTGAATGTGTCTTGTCGTTGCGCAATGGTTGCATTCAACTGAGCGTTTGGGCCTTTTGAAAGGAAATTAGCCCAGAGTGGCACATTGTTGTTGATGAGAGGCGTTCGGTTCTTTCTGTACGAGGTCACAGGCGTTTTGTGAAGTTGACCTGGGCTTGTACTGTAGCAGACTGTAGCCTGTGCAGCCACCTCCTTAGTGTTTAAATTGGCTTGGCAAACACAGTCTATAGCCASCCTTTTATCAAAGGAGCGCTTCTGTCTGAATGGCTGCATTGCACCGGTGTCTGGATGCCTTTGAAAGCTCAGAACACAGGGAGAAATGGTTGCAGGGGGGTGCTACAGTGTGTGCTAGTGATATAAAAGCAGTCAAATGATTTCAAATGATTTTAAAGATGAACCTTTTTATTCTTGTTTTCTGAGACAGAAATTTGTAAGTGTGGAAATCTACAGGCACCTCACAATTTGATTCTAATTTAAAAGGTTGCAATKCAGTTTTATAATGATTATTTATGCATTATACCTCAATTTACTTCAGAAGCTGCTTGCTTTGGAGTTTCTTTTGCGTTTATCGTGTTATTAGTCTAAAATAAAATTCTATTTTTGCCTTTTTAAAACTGATATAGAGTAATTTATGTTGCATTGCGCTGCACCAAAAAAAAAACAACAAAACAAAACAAAAAAACGATTCTAATCGTCACCCTTAGTAATTTCCTGAAATGTTTTTATTTTACTCAGAAAAGGCAACTCTCACATCCGGCAAGGACCAGAAGACACCTACTTTTCAAGCTCAGGTATTTAAAAAAAAATCTTGCTGTCTGACTTTTGTTTGATTTACTTTTTTGACTTGTCTTCGTACATTTTTGCGGCTTGCAGAGCAGTTAAAACCACTGAAGACCTACGTGGACCCGCATACGTATGAGGACCCCAACATAGCTGTCCTCAAGTTTGCCACTGAAATCCACCCAAGCCACATAACCAAACAGAAAGTTATTGGAGCTGGTGAGTGACAACCCCGCTGAGATAATCTGCTGCGAGGCTTAACTTTGAGATGTTGAAAGATCTTTCCAATCCCTAAAAAATTCTGTTTACACTGTGCATTTTCAACAGCCTTAAACAGGCCGGCTGACGGTGGTTGCTTCAGTGAGATTAGCATCGATCGGGCTGGCTTCTCACAGAACAAGTTGAAACATTTTTAAGTTGTGTGGCAACTCTAGGCTGTGGCACCTTTTGTGTTTTGACTGAAGTAGACACAAAAATCACACAAAGGAAACTGCAGCAGAAGCATTGTTTTAGGGGAAGATATCAGAGCACCTTCCCGGGCTTTCCTGGGGGTTTTGTTTTTCACTAAAGATACGTTCATTCAACTGCGACCACCTTTACCCTTTGAACCAAAAGCTTTTTTTTTTTTCAGCCCCTGTCCCAGCTCCCACGACCAAATGCCCCTTTTTTCTTCTCATGTGACAGCTGATTCCCATGCTCCCACACAACAGGCCATCAACCATTTACACAATGTTGCCTCTCTCTCAACACGGAGCCAGAACACACCTCTCCCGAGAGCGCCTCGRGCAAAACAGACGCAGAGACTTCCTCATTTTCTTATTTTGTTCTGCTGCCAAGCCCTGCAGCTAAAAACTTAAGATGACACCAACATTCGTTTTATATCTGTTTTCTAAATCGACTGTCCCCGATGTTGACGCTTTTACCTGCAGGGGAATTTGGCGAGGTGTACCGGGGCATTCTGAAGGTGCCGGGGAAGAAGGAGGTGGCGGTGGCCATCAAGACGTTGAAGCCCGGCTACATGGAGAAACAGAGGCAGGACTTCCTGAGCGAGGCCTCCATCATGGGCCAGTTCTGCCACCAGAACATCATACGTCTGGAGGGGGTGGTCACCAAATGTGAGAACATCTCTGGAAGCTTTTTATTTTGAAATAATACTTTTTGTGTGGACTTAAAATGTATTCACCCCCCACTTTTTTTTTGTAGTTAAACATGCAATGATAGTAACTGAATATATGGAGAATGGAGCTCTGGATAGATACCTAAAGGTAGGTCCATCATATTTGTCCTGATTCAGCTGTTTTGTACATTATAATGATGTAATAATTTGGTCAGAGTTTGTCATGGAACACAACTGATCTGTTCTTCCGATGTCCCGGTAGGACCACGACGGCGAGTTCTTGTCGTTCCAGCTGGTGGGAATGCTGCGCGGCATCGCTGCAGGCATGAAGTACCTCTCTGAAATGAGCTACGTCCACCGAGACCTGGCTGCTCGCAACATCCTGGTCAACACCAACCTGGAGTGTAAAGTGTCCGACTTTGGTCTGTCCCGAGTGCTGGAGGACGAACCTGAGGGGACGTACACCACGAGCGTGAGTTGATATGAAGCGTTAAAGGGATCCACGATTAGTTGTAACATTAGACTTTATATGATAAACATTTATTTTAACTGTAAAATAAAGACTGTAAAAATACTTTAGGCTKTTTAGTTTTTATAATTTCTAAACTTTAGCGTTAGCCCCTATGCTATCACTATATATATGTATTAGCTTAGTGCTACACATTCTCCTCTCATCACTGAGGTCCTCCATCCACATGACAGAGAGGGGAACACAAAAATGACTGTCTGCAACTAAAAATATGGATGGAGTACCTCAGTTTAGCTTGTTAGTTTGTCGTGCTAGCATCGAGCTAATACATACGTATAAGGCAATATAGCATCGGCGCTAGTACAAAGGCTAACAGGCTAAGCTGAGGTTCTTCTTCCATGAAGCAGCTCTGTTGTCCTCCATCCATATTTCCAGTTACAGGCTGAGTCATTTCTACCTTCTCCTCTCTGTCAACGCTCTCTGGTTTCATTTAAAAGAGTCKATCATCAGATATTGTCCAAGATTAACCTTCAGGGTGGATATAGCTCGCTTACACCGATGACCTATCCACGTCATCTTTTACCCAGAATGCTTTGTGTGTAAATAAAATGGCTCTGTCCGTGTTAAAATATATTTTTTAAAATTTACAAAACTGAACAGCCTACAGTATTTTTACAGTCTTTATTTTACAGTTAAATGTTTATCGAATAAAGTCTAATGTTACAACTAATCATGGATCTCTTTAAGATCGACTTCAGCCTCACAGAAAGGTTTTTATTTATTTATATTTTTTTCTTGAATAGGGAGGTAAGATTCCCATCCGCTGGACCGCACCAGAGGCGATAGCCTACAGGAAGTTCACCTCGGCGAGTGACGTGTGGAGTTTTGGCATCGTCATGTGGGAGGTCATGGCATTTGGTGAAAGGCCTTACTGGGACATGAGTAATCACGAGGCAAGCTTCCACTTTTCCTTTTTGACCTTTTTCCCCTCAACCTAATAAAAATCTAATGTACAGAAAAAAGATCTAAGTGGTCTGGTTGTGTTTTCAGGTGATGAAGGCCATCAATGAGGCATTCAGGCTGCCTGCACCCATGGACTGCCCGTCCGCCGTCTACCAGCTGATGCTTCAGTGTTGGCTTCAGGACCGCTCGAAGAGGCCGCGCTTCGGTGACATCGTCAGCCTGCTGGACAAGCTCCTGCGCAGCCCGGACTCTCTRAAGACCATTGCAGACTTTGACCCACGGTGAGGTTTATTTATGTGTCGTGCAAAAGGCTCATAAAGCATATTTGTTCTGCAGCTGACTCCAGCTCCAGAGTATCAGCCACTGTTGACAAACCTGTAACCAAAACCCAGAACTTTTAAAGTGCAGCTAATGTAAATTCAGTTTTTCTGTCTAATCCTGTTGGCCTGTTTATCTTTCATGTCTGTTATCAATTTATTTAGACTAGATCTCTAAAAATAAGCAGTGGAAAATTGAAAAATATTTTTTTATAGCACCGAGTCTTGTAGACCTTTGTTACACAAATAGAATAAAATAATATAAGTTCACTGCTGGGAGAAAAAAAAAAAGAGTCTGAGCCTAAAAAAATGAAAAGTTCTTTTTTTAGTTTGTGCCAAAATCCTCAAAAATAAAGTATTTTGTTCATGACTAATATTAACTTAAATTGAATGATAATAAATAAGTTTTGTCTGCAGACAAAATTTCACTTTATTTGTTTTTTATAGAAGCCAGTTACCAGAAAACAGACTACAAAAAGTATTTAGTGACTTTACTCTGACTCATCTCTCCTAGATTTAATCTTTTTATGTTCGAGTTTGTGTGAAATGTTTTGATACCTGTTGACATGAGTTTTGACCTGGATTAATGCAGAAGAGAAAAGTTAGTTTTTATAAACTTGTTCTTATTTTAATCCCAAGGTGTTTGGGCTTAAGTGAGACAAAAATGTGACCTCAGTGAACACAGTGACTCTTTGAGCCAAGCTTAAAAATAAAAGGTGTGAACTTAAATGTGTTAAATGTTTTTTTTTGTTTGTGACTCTGTGAATGAATCTCTTTATTCCTGCTGTGAGAATGGATTGAGAGAGGACAAAAAGTTGTCATGTTCAGGTCTCACCCTGACTCTCTGAACTGGTTTTACCACCAACTAGTTTCCTGCTCTCTAATTACAAACCTCACTTATCTGTTTCCTTTTGTTGTTGTGGGAAAGCATGTTGATTATTATTATTGTTATATTTTATCATATATTTTGTTTTATTGCCAGCATTTCCATCCGGCTCCCCAGCACCAGCGGCTCAGACGGTTCTCCCTTCAGGTCAGTGTCTGAATGGCTGGAATCCATTAAGATGAGTCAGTACAGCGAGAACTTCAGCCGGGCTGGGATCAGCACCATGGACCAGGTCCTGCAGATGAAGACCGAGTAAGTGCTCGTTTATGTGGTTACATAATTTGGCAAAGAATCAAAACCGCCCCCTTTTTTTTTGTCAAGTCATGCTTCCAATTTAAAGCAACGTCTTGCACAATGAGGGGTGGAGTCTGTTTTAGTTTATATTTGTTTGGTGCTTTTATTCTGTTTTGCTCTTAAAAGGCGAAGCCATAATGTTTATACCTAATTGTGTGTTTGTCTGTGCTGTTAGCAAAATGTCTCTTGAACTGCTGGACATATTGTAGTGAAACTCTGAACATCTACAGCTGATTAACGTTTGCACAATTCAAGATGGCCGCCACAGCTAATCAACATTAGCCTACACCTCTGGCTAAAATTCTGTGTGGTAGTAGCCGACAGTCGTTCACAACACATRCTCCAAGCACTGATCAAAATGACTTTAACTCCAATGTTGTTTAAGTGGCAGGCGAAATGCATTCCTTCATGAAATGCAAGTCCTTTTTTAAATACGGACTCTGTCCGTCCCTCCACACATAAACACACACACAGGGTAGAATTTCTGCTCGACTGTCATCCGTTTAGAAAAAGTTTGTTTTGTGGCAGCGATAACTAAAAAGGAGAGAATATCTTTTGCAGAAAGCTGCACCTGAAGGAATAAAAAAAAGAAAAACTAAATACGTGGACATCATTTGAAGTTCTAAAAGCTAGAAGTGTGTTCAGCATGAACCCCCTGAAGACATCAAAAAGCTTGTTTAAGACAATTACATCTTCCCTGATGTGTAGGAGAGCTACAGGAGGCAATTTAACCAAACAGACTCAACCTTCGGGGGGAAAAATACGCCTTTGTGACGCTCCTAATTTAAGGTTACTTTTGAGGAATAGGAACATTCTCTAACCACACATGAACAGCTCCACCTAACTTTGTCTTTGTATACGTCTGTCAGTCCATCATCAGATGAGCACCTTTTTAAAACAGAAGGGAACTSGTTTTGAAGTGTTTCGTACAGTTTGGTGTGAGTTCAGGGCCCCATGTTTCCATCTGGGGGCATCTGGTAGCACTTCTCTGAAAAACCACCAGCCATTTACCATCCACCCTCTGCTCGCCAGACAAGTGATTCATGGTCAACAGGGAGAATCCTCGTTAAGCAATTAAGGCTGTAATTAAGGCTTTGACTGAGGGTTGGTGTTTATGCAGGGCTTTATTTTTTTTTTTTTTGCAGCTTTGCATCACATGCTGATGCGGAATAAAAAAAAACTTTTAATAATTTATTTTTTTTATTGTGGAAGATGAATTAAAAACTCACCAGCAGATAACGAAAGTGGAATGCACCCCACCTCGCTGAGCCGGTTGCGGCTCCGGGCGGCCGTTTCATCACACACCATGAGTCAGTGATTGCTGCAAGGCAGGAAGGGATGCATGTGGAAAGAGTTTGGACCGAGTCCCGACTGAAAACGCTGTCGTGTCTGTCTCTTCCACAGGGATATTAAGAACATCGGGGTGAGATTGCCCGGCCATTTGAAGCGAATAGCTTACAGCATCCTGGGCTTAAAGGACCAGACCAGCACTCTGAGCGTGTTCGCCGTGTGATCCTCGCCATGAAGGGACGTGAAACTGCTGCAGGTGGACACTTTAAAACTCTTAAGCTGAGCTGGAGCAGGACTGCAGGGACTGCAGGGACGGCTTTGGATCGACAGAACCAAGAGAAACATGCCATCCTTTTGGGCCAAATGACTCAGACTAACTCACTGTACTTTGATTACTTTATCAGGGAATGGAACAAGTACACAACAATAGATGTATCAGCAGACTTTTATATTTAAATATCTATTTTTTTTACTGTACTTACTCTCTTTACAAGATACAATTTATCGCTCTTGCGTTTTTGTCTATTTTCAAACGATCGATCCACTCCGGCTTTACAAAATGTGTCGAGGAGCTCTAGAAATCACGGTTCAGTTTGTTGGTGCTGATGCCAAAGAATTTCTCGGTAAAAGGCACTTGGCTCCATTTCCTGTCAGAAGGGAGCATCAGGGAGCCGAAATGAGCTTGAGCTCRTCCAGAAACGAACAACAAAACCAGAAAGACTGGACCTGGTTTTGTTTCTGGCCTCCTGCTGGCTCCAAGCAGAAATGAAGCTATGATCTTCTGAGTGAGGGAAAAGAGATGTTTGAGGTACTCTGTGGACAGATTAACTGTTTTTTACTTCTTGCTTGCCTGTTACCAAAAAAGTAAAAAAGAAAAAAAATGTTTTGTAATGTAGCACTTGGATCAAAAATCTTTATTTTTTTGTGTGATAATTTTAAGCTAAAGATGATAAAACTCAGCCTGGATCTTCAGAGTTTGAGCCGATGAATTGTTCAAGTTGGAGTTTTATACATTTGTTGAAAATAGCGGGGAAAAAGCACAGAAACCCTAAAAATACATCCAAAAAAACCAACAAACAAACTAGATTTTACTCTAACAATTCTCTGGTTTGCTTTTTCATCKTCTCAATTGTTTTGTTTTTATTTTTTCTCTCAAGCTTTATGAATATTTAGTTCTGCTTGGGTTGATCTGTTGACAGGTTTAAGCTATCTGCTTTAAAGATGAAGGGCTCAGTTCATTCTGGACATTTTGATACATTTTAACGTGCCTCTCTGAGATTTTGCCTCAGTCTCTTTAAAAAGAAGTGAGCAGCCCCCCCCCCCCCTCCGTGCTCTTAATGGATGACTGCAAACCTTCGTGTTACTGATGAACACCTTCCTTTACTTGAATTTTTATTGTCTTGTTTAAATGTTGAAATCKGTTGTAGCTGAGAGACCCAACTTATGAGAAAAACAAAAAAAGGGATTTATATTATGTTTTTGTTATCCTGCTTTCTTGGTTGGAGTTTCATTTTGTAAATTTTGTATAATTTTCCAGTATTAATTGTGTTTCCAAGCTGATTATTTTTCTAATTTTGCCTCTAAAAACCTGCTACATTTTCCTGCCACTCTAAATTCTTTTTCTTTCTTTTCTGTATTTAATAGTCTATTTATTTTTTGAACTATTATTTATTTATCCTGATAAACACTGAGCTGGGTTTAGAGTTGGAGGTTGCTCACTAATTGCAGCAAAGTTTTCCTCTTTTCTTTCTTTTGATCTGTTCTTTCCTGAGATTGCATTTGTGGCAAAATAGTCTTAAACTGAGTTTATTAAAGCGTGTTGTTTAACTGGACGACAAACGTTTTGTTTATATTGTTCTTTAATAGCGACGGGATGTTTAGACTTTCACCTGGATTTGCTTATAATGCAGCCGAGCGACTTTAATTCCAGAGCTGGAAGCTGAAATAAACGRGAGAGCTTTGTTACGTCCAGGAAACTGATGTCCACGCAAGAACACACACAAACACACACGTTCACTTCCTCTGTCTGCAGCTCATGGGCTTTAAAAGACTAAACCGTGAAATTCAAATAAAGTAGAAAATCCCAGCTGATTAAAGTAATTCAACGGTGCCTTTGGGGAAAAAACAAAACAAAAACAACAGAAAAAGAAAAAAAAAATCTCCACGTTATATTTTGCAGTGACTTCTTATGTTGCATCAGAAAGTCCGACTCAGTCCTTTATGTTAAAGTCCCGTCACACCATAATGTTTTAGACAACTTATGAAAATGTCTAGGCTGAAGATGGAACAAAAATCTATTAGAARCTTCTTTTGGACGTAGACATAATGCTAACAGATCGTATTTTGACTGATTAAATGAATTTACTACTTTCTATTTTATTTATTTTAAACATTCACTATAAACAGCAAGAKAATTGGAGTTTGTAGAACTAACTTCCTTGTTTACGATGACATCACATGCAGGTTTTCTGTAAGAAGAGGTGATTCGGGGACATTTTGCTCGGGTTTTTGTAATCAGGCGTAGGCTATGAGTGAATGGACCACAGCACTGTGATGTAACAAACATTCAAGGCTGAGTACTGGACCCGTTTCCTTTGCCTGAATTACTGTAGATCCTCATTAGTCATAACATTTTCACAAGTCATCTAAAACCTTGCAGCAGGCAAGGGCCTTTTACAAAAGAAGTACATTTTTTTTCAGCTCATTTTCGAATCAACCCGTTTCACCAAATATAAAACTTTATTTAATCAGGCCAATCCCTCTGAGATCAAAGGTTTTTTTTTTTAAAGAGAGGTTTGGACCTAAAGGCAGTCTAAACATGTATGTTTTTGGACTGTGGGAGGAAACCAGCAGAGACCAGAGGAGAAAACACAAACTAAACACAGAAAGAGCCCAGGTCCGGTCCAACCCAGCACCCTCTTGCTGTGAGACAACAGCAAACCGTCTGCAATCTTTCCACAGAACTCCACTTCAAAAGATCTGCACTGTTGCTTTAAAAACAACACTTAAAGGAGTCAGAAGCAAAAAAAAAAAAAAACAGTTTTGCTCGTCATCATTTCTTCCTCTCTTTAAACGTTCTCTCATGCAGTCAGATTCCGCCAGTCTTTCAAATGAAACGATCCAAACAATCTGATTAGACTTCAGGTTTGTTTCTGCCTCAATCCTGCTCTCACCCCAGTCCACGTCTGTTAAAACTCTTTCAGCAGGTTTCCAAACCTTTACAAATACATCGTTATATCGTTAAATAGCACATGTAAAAACCTGAGGAGCTACAAATKAATCGTTTTGGAATATTTCCGTAAGAAGTCATGAATTAACAGGAATCTGGATCAGGGTGTTGCCAAAAGTGTGAGTGAGTCATTAATTATAGGCTGATTGTGAGAAATACATCTACCAGAAGAGCTTTTTTATTATTCTCAACCACCAAAAGGTGAAGKCTCATGGTTTGCATTTCTTTTGTAAAACTCCAGGTAAAAATGAATGAAACAGACACTGACCTAAAATGTAATWAGTCTGCTAGTAGCTGAGGCTTTATTGGGCGCCAAGTGTAAAATTCAGCAGCGTTAGCAGCAGCTAGCTGTGGCTAGCMTAGGCCACTAATGATGTTTGTCGCAGGATGTTGACGTCATCCTGGTTATCTGAYTCTAACTYCTGTGAACACTTCTAACACTGCTGAAGATGATATTTAAAAATCTAAATTCAAAATATGCTCATTAAAARCAGTATGGGCGGTACCTGTGGYCCAGCAGTTTGAAGTGCAGCTCAGACACCAGCCATAATGGCAAATGTCTTGTAGGGGAACTTTAGCTGCATTGAAGCGCTAGATTTAAATTTAACATTTAGTAAAAATGAGCTAAATGTAAGAACAGTGAGCTAAATAATGAAAAATATGTTAGGGATTTTTTTAAACATTTAATTTACACTTGGTGCCCCATAAGACTGATCCATAAGACTGATCCAGCAGATTGAGCAAGAGGAGCAAAATTTGCTTTTAATTATTAAAAATCAACTCTGTCTGTTAGCAACTGAGTGGATTTTATTGAAACTCAYAGGAAATTCTCRTTKGATGTACCTCTACAGTTGATTAACTTTTGGAGTCAGTCTAATTCAAGATGGCTGCCATGATCAACAGATGTTAGATAACACAAAACATGGTTATAACGCAATCGATTTTACAGATATGGGACTAAAACTGGGTACGACTCTTTAAAGTTTTGAACAAATCACATCCAAATCGCTCGTTTCTGCACATAAAAGGGTCTCGTTCAGAGAAGGCGGTGGGCGATGTGCATTCCTTGGAGAGGTGCTCGTCCTTTTATTTATACCTTCAGATCAGGTTTGATGAATCTGGCTAACAACAATCAGGAGRTGTAATGCATTCGTTTTCAGAATAATCCGCCGTGAAGGTTTGCTTACAGGATCTAACCATGGCGGAGCTTTTTTTATTCCTGGTGCTGGCATTCCTGTGCTGTGGGATCGCTCCCATTCAAATAAATAACAGGGTGAAGTTATTTTCTACACAGTCGGGTCTTAAGACGGCCTTAGAGCCACTTTAGACTCCGACTGCTGCAGATTATCTTCATCTCTGAGCTCAACCGCTACAAGCTAAATAAAATCAAAAGAATGTACTCCTCTGATTACCAACATTTGCTCAGTTTTCTTTTATAAACTGCRCTGAAACAACTTTCTAGGATGGCAGTAAAGCAATTTAAGTCCAATGTTTCATCATTTATTTTCATATTTCAGAACTTACAACTGCTCTTTCTCAAGAATAACAAGTTCATATCCCTTTTCCTTGGCGGACTCGGCTTATCTCCTCCTCTCTGACCTTGTGACGAGGAAGTCACCGGCGCCTCGAGTTCTGAGAATTTATCAGCTTCCAATGATTGATGCGAGTTGCGAAGCTTCAGATAAGGGCCACGCACGCCACATAGAGGAATGTCAATATTTGAGTGTTGGACTTAAATCAGTGAAGTGGCGAAGCAAGAAGGCCCCGGCGAAGACGAGAAGAAGCATGGGAACTTTTGTCTCCCGTGAGTCTTTGTCCTTCACTTCCAGCTGGCTGCATGCTCTCTGSTGACGATGCCCAGAAATAGCGCCGGCTTTATGTGGCGACTGTAAACCGAGAAAGGCTTCCATTATTTTCCATCTTCACTCGTCCGTTCATTGCAGTGTTTCGCAGCATGTGAAGGTTTTTTTTCTTCTTCCTTCAATGGAAAAAAAAAAAAGGAACAGAGCGGCACAGTTCAAGTGTAATGTTAGGATTTATGCGACTCCTCTTCTGATTCATCAAAGCTGATTTTTGGTTCCTGTYGTCGGCTGTAACGTGATGATCCTCGAGCTGCAGGGGCTGGATGTGTGGAGGCTTGAGTCTTGTCATTAGCGCTGCAAATGACAGAGGCACACGGAAAGGCAGGGAAAGAGCAGGAGGAGAGATGATAGTGGGAATAGAGGGGGGCTTAAGATGGAGATTTGAGCCATACCAGAGCTTTACTGCAGGCCACAATAGCATGTGTGGTGATTGTGTTGAAGGCTTGGCGTCGAGGGCCTGAGCCTCCCCTCTGAGGACTGTTGAATGTGGGGGCCGCGGCTTTGCCTTCTTCTTGTGGCCCCTCAGATGTCTTTGTTCCCCAGGCGGAGGCCTATTAAAAAAGAAATAAGGGGAAAAAGGAAAACATTACCGCAGCGCTGCTCGTGGATGACCTCTCCCTCCACCACCGGTCTTTATTTTTACACGTTTTATTCTGTTCTGTTTCATGTCCTCCTGGCAACACTCGGTGTCACGAGCTGGTCTGCAGACCGGCAACGCTCAGGAATTTACATCCCTTGCTAATTTTAGYGACGGGTTCCTGACCAGAAAACACATCCTCCAATTTCTGTCTATATCGGTCTTTTCTTGCGTCTTTCCCTTCCCGCTTCTCCCAGCAGCCCTCCGAGGATTATGCAGATTTCTCCCCATAAGCTCAGTCTGCTCCAAGCCCCCACTTCATTTTCTCCTCTGCTTTCTGGAGGATCTTAAATGTCCTGATCTAAGATTACACACGAGGACACAGCCAAAGCTCCTCTCCAGGTTTAATCCATGAAAAAATAAACTAGGCTGCACCAAGCAGATGCTGTAAAAATATAATAAGGAGAAACTAATCACTTCCAGCGTGGAGCACTTCCCTTCGTGCTGCAGAGAAGCTGTTTGATGTCACCACAGACGACACGAGGAGTGGGGGGCAGAAACACAAGCCGCCGTTGACATAGGAGCCATCTCTCTGCAGACACTTTGTATATTTTACAAACGTACACGCCTAACTCACTCCATGTTTCTGCTGATGTCACTGTTAAAAGTTCTGCCCGGAGTCTGGCGGCTGCAGGTTTTATCCTTGGTCTGGATGGAACAGTAGCACTGCTTTACGAAAAGAAAGACATTTCATGAATTAAATATATAAATAATTAACAAAGTAGTGC